GAAGGATCACTGGAGCCCAGCAGGTCAAGGCTGCGGTGGCTGGGAGCGGCCACTGCACTGCAGTCTGGGCAACAGAGTGAGACTCCAAACTCAAAAAAAAAGAAAAGAAATACAGATGATATTGCTAGATTTCTTTAGCTATGTGCTTAATAGGGACTGAGTGCCATGGCTCACGCCTGTAATCTCAGCACTTTGGGAGGCTGAGGTGAGAGGATTGCTTTTCAGGAGTTTGAAACTGGGCAACATAGCAAGATCTTGTCTCTAACCAAAAAAAAGGTAAATAACAGGAGGCATCTGATAGCAGTTTTTAAGTTCAAAAATTTAAATATGATTATGTATGATGTTTTAATTTCTTAAGATTTTATTTTGTAATATAGAAAGATAGTGTTGTGATTAAGAGCACAGTTTTGAGTCAGACTTGGAATGGAGCCATTACTCTGCCAGTTAATCCATACTTTTAACTTGGATTGGATTATATCTAACCTGTTAGAAATATTAGTTCTTTCACTGTCAAATGAAAATAACAGGCTGTGCACAGTGGTTTAGGCCTGTAATCCCAAGCACTTTGGGAGGCTGAGGCAGAAGGATTGCTTAAGTCTAGAAGTTTGAGACCAGCCTAGGCAAAATAGCAAGACCTCATCTCTACAGAAAGTTTAAAAAATGAGTCAGGCATGGTGCCACACACCTGTAGTCCTAGCCACTTGGGAGGCTGAGATAGAAGGATTGCCTGAGCCCAGGAGGTCGAGGCTGCAATGAGCCATGAGTGTGTCACTGCACTCCAGCTTGGGCAACAGAGTAAGATTCCAACTCAAAAAAAAAGAAAATAGCAATGACTACCTCATATGTTTATAAGTGAGATAAATAAGTTGTAAGATATACATATAAATCACTTTGACATATTGCCTGGCACTTAGTAAGTATTTGAGCATTAGCTGTGGTTATTATTAACAAGTACCAAATGAATGTTGATGGAAAAACTACATTAATCTTGGTTAGGCTTTTCAAAGATATGGTTTGTGGTTACAGTTTTTATATTGGACAATACATATATATAAATATTCCTGAATTACAATTATAGAATTGTATATATGTCTAGATAGATAGATAATAGGTTTTTTTCCCCCTAATTTTTATGATACTAGTAAGTACCACATCATCATTTTGGGGGTTCCATAGAGAGCCTCCTCAATTGCTTGTGCTTGCTATCCAAACAATTGTGAGAACCACTGTCCCAAAGAAAAGATTCTTTTAGAAGAGTTCTCAAAAATGTATTGCCGATAGTAAGATTCTGGTAAGACAATTATATTAGAAGTTCTAGTCTTATGAAAGAACATATCCACTTATGAATTAATTTGTGATTTTTGACTTCTACAAAATGGGTCTAGATGTGCTCTCATTTTAATTTATCAATGATTAATTTTACAAATTGGCTTATGTTCTAGTATAAAAACCAATGTATTACTTTTGATCTCTGTGGAAGAAATGGATGAGGATTGTGATAACACTTATATTGTTTTGTTTCATTTTATTTCACAGAAACCCTGTTTCCGTGACTTTGTAGAAACATGTTTATACAGTTATTGCATTCAAGTTCATTGCATATAAAATTTAGTGCTAGAGTGTAGAGTGCTCAAGCTTAGAAAAACATTTGAAATGTTTCTGATATAGGCATTTAGTTTTCAGTTACTTAAAAGAATAAGGAAAATGTTTCTGGTAGAAATTATTGATAGAAGGAAATTAATTCCCAATCCCTTTTTCTTTCTTTTGATCTAGGGTTGTGGTTCTAGAGAAATAGGACAATGGAATTAAACTTATTTGTTATAAAACAAATGAACTCCCAGCAAAAACAATTGCTTAAAAAATTTATATTTTATATTTATTCGTACTAATAATTTATAATTTATTATCTATACTAACAACTTTAAAAATATTTAAAAATATTATTTAAAGATATTCACAGTAATTCTATCCAGATTTAAGAATGATACTCCCTCATAACCCTAAATATTTTCTTTAAAGTCAGAAGACCTTCTAAGGTATATTTGTGACTGATGTAGAGCCCAGAATAGCTTGAGATTAATATTTTTGTGTGTTTTAAGTTTTCCAGGAACACTGTCTACATGTTTTTTAACCAAAGGATGGGTATCACCTTGCATTTATTAGTATTCTTTGTGTTAAAATAGCATTTCGCATCTGCTTCAGTGGGCAAAATCAGAATTGTGAAGAAATACGTGTTCCTTGATTCAGCAACTCTGGCAACTATAACCATAAAGGAATGCTTTTCCATACACTCAAACACAGTAAATTGCTCCTCCAATCTCAACTCTAGCTCTTTCACTTGTGAAGCCAGAATTAAGAGAATGAAGCTAGCAGTAGTTACAGAATTCTAAACAAACATGTTTCTGGTATAACTTAAAGTGATCTTAGCCAAGTAAGCACATAATTAAAAATATTTTAACAAGATTTTTACACAGTGAAATAAGATTTAAATCCAGTGATCTAGCTAATAATTTTTCATTAATATTACGAGAGTGCAAGATACCTAGTATCTAAAATCTGCGCTCTGGCAAACTTTTAGGGTGGAATAGATAGAGACATGTGACTTATTCATGCAAGGATCCTCTGCCTCTAGTCACTATTGAGCCAAAGCACTTATCTTCAAACTTTTCTGTATTTTTAGACAGGGAGTTTCATCATTTTGTCAAACAAATATTTGACTTTCGAATGCTAATTTTAATGTAGTAGTGAAGTGTAAAGCAAATGTTTTCAACTATTCTTTGCTATATCAAATATCTTTTCATTTTTATCAGTGTTTTTCCTCTGTTCCCTGCTAACTACAAAGTATGTCTGGAATCTTTGCTTCAGTATCAGAGTAGTTGTAGGAAGGAAGCATTAATAAGTGCAGTGAGGAAATCAAAATCAGTTTAACTACTGCAAATAATTATTTTCTTTCTCTAACATGAGCTGTGAGAGAAGTTGCATTTGTAACAATGATTATTACTGGGCATGGGAAGTATAACAAATGACTAAAACTTTTTATATTTAATGAAAATACTGATTTAGCTAAATGAACATTTTGTACAGGCTGTCACCTTATAAACTTTTGCAAAAGATAATCACATATTTTCATAATTTTAAGACATTATACATGAGAATATATACCTAGGAGCTTAGTGAGGAAAAGTTTCATTATACAAAGCTTAATTGATTCAGAGGGAACAGCCATATATTATGACTTTGTGGCAATGGATTTTATTTAACAAAACAAATTGTATCCACATAAGACTTGTTTTTCTAATTATCTATAGAGCTCCTGTGCATGTTCCTCCCCCCCCCTTTATACTCTGTGGAAACTTAGCAATCAGATGTAAAAGACTAATAAGGAAGCAGATTTATTATCTCACAATTTTTAGAATGACTAGGCTTGTAAATATATTTGCTCGTTGAATTCCTTTACACTCAATTCTTAGTTTTCTTTTCAGACATACTTGAAGGCTTTAGGTGTTACCAATATGGTGATATTTGTGTGGGCCTCAGTCTTACCTTATGTTAGACGGCCACATTTAATGTTAATTATAGATGTTATTTTTGCCAGTCATTACAGTCTCATGGTGGCAGAACAGAGGGGAACAATTATTCACCAGATACATTTTTCTAAAATATAAATTTTAAAAAATTTGTTCCCAAACCTGTTGAGCTGTTACGTAGTCTGATCCTCCCCCTCTTCCCAACCATTTGCTTTGAAATATCGAAGTCGTGCCTGGGAATTTTTTGGAATTTATTTTTGAAAACTTCAACCAAACATGAAGGAGAGAGAATGATATAGACCCTTGTACACCTATCACCCTACTTCAACATTTATCAACATTTTATTATCTTGTTGAATCTGTTTTCCTCCCACCTCTTTTTCTGTTTTTGTTTGTTTGTTTCTGTTGTAGTATTTTAAAGTAAATCTTATATCAGCAAATGTGTCACAATACATTTATTCAAGTGTTAGAGCATGAGAGCATTTGTTGACAGTGACTTAGCACTCAATCTTTAGGTACTCCAATTTAATATTAAAAATTTCACTAGCCTAGGCAGCATAGCAAGACCTCGTCTCCAAAAAAATCAAAAATCAGCTGGTCATGGTGACACATACCTGTAGTCCCCACTACTCAAGAGGCTGAGGCAGAAGGATCATCT